AGTTCTGCTCTGACCATTTTTTAGAAATTGGGTCTTAGAGAGGTAAAGGACCTGCTCAGGATTACATAGCCTAAAAGTGGCAGGGTCAAGGCAAAACTTTGGCTCTCCATCTCTAAAATAGAGGTGATAAAAATAATAAAATGTTCCCCTGAGAATCACAAGCTTGTTCTGACATCAAATAAGAAAATATATGTGGAGGCACTATTATACAAATGTTAGGTAAATTTAGCAGACCCTGAACAGGTGCTTAATCTCTCTGTGCCTCAATCTCATCACCTGTGAAATGGGAATAATATTATCAGTCCCCTGTCATCAAGCTGTGTGAGGATTAAGTTAAAACATGAACAGAACTTGGCACATTGCATGTGCTCAATGAATGCTAGCTATTATGTTGGTTTATTGAATCTAACTCCTAAAGGAAACTTTAATTAGGTCCTGCTACTTGATGGATAAATTAAAAAGTTAATTAACTAACTTACTCCCCTGCAAATTTTTTTTTTTGAAATTTTTTCAAAAGCTAAGTTCTCACTGTCTGATTTTAATGAGCCCCAGGAACAGTAGAGAGGGCTTTCTTGGAGATTGAGGAGCGTGGCTGTACCACCTTTCTGAAAGTGCAGCCTCTGGGTATTGTCCTGCAGGTGAGTGTGTTTCAAATCCTGGCTCTGTCAGTTGCTGGCTGGGTACTCACAGGCTGGCCCTTTCTTTGGGCACCCATTTCTTCGACTGTAAAAAGAGGGGGCGTAAATAGGCTGTTCTTAATTCTAGATATCTTTGTAGAAGTTGTAAACATTGAACCTGAATTTATTGATTTCCTAGAACAAGATGGTGTAAGTCAAGCCTGTGGATTCTAGAGCTAGAGTCCTTGGGGCTCAAGGGCAGTCATCTGTGACTGGACAAGTTATTTAATCACTCTAAGCCTCAGTTTTATGATTTGTAAAATGGGGATGATAACAGTACTTCCTTCAAGACTTGTTGTGAGGATTAAATTATAATACATGTGAGCTACTCAGCATAGTGCCTGGCACCCTGTAAGTTCCTACTGAAGTATTATCCATAATAATTTCAGCCACTGGAAGATGTTTGTTTCTAAAACTAACATAGTTTTAACCTCCCAGTATCTTCCCTCCATGTTTCCCAGTTTTTTCCTTTGAAGTCAAGTGCAAAGTTTTGGTAAACTGAGAGTTCTGCTTGATTGAATACTGGTTAATCAAGAGTTGGCTCTCCTCTATTTTTGTGGTTCATGCATATTTATGGTAGAATTTGCAAGGGGCTTGCTGGGCATCATATGGCACTTGAGCATATTCATTCTGAGGGAAGGAAATAGATGTAGGTTCCCATGCAATGGCCACCACTCTGAAACCCTTAAGGCAAGCTGGCCTCTGGGAGATTCAAATTAGACAATATCTTACCAGAAGTAGAAGCAGCTTCTTCAGAAAAAGAAAAATATATCTGATAGCACATTTTGTCTGAGTGCATCAGGGAATGTATTTTTCTTGGAGGTAAATAAAAAAGAGACAACCACCCCATTTACACAAAAGTAACAAATAGTAATAAAATCTCCTGTGAACAGCCACTTCTTAGTAACCTGGACTCAGAAGATGTAGGTTCAAGTCAAGGGTGAAATGCTATTAGATGCATCACATAAAAACACAGTGGAGAACTGGTTATGGATTTATGACATGTTTATGAGGCTGAATATTTGCTTTTTAAGAGTCTCCTTCCCATGGCTTTGCAAGGAGAGGCAGTGCTAGAGAGTGTTTCAACTCAACCTCCCGGAGAAAGATGAGGGAAGGGGGTGGATGGGGAGGAGTTAGAGGGGCTGTTCGTCTGGTGGTGGAAGAGCAGCTGAACTTGCTCAAGAGTCTCAGCTTCTTTGCAGAGAAAGTCAACTAAAGGGTCTTGTGTTAGATCAGCATCTGGGCAAGTGGTCTCTCTGGAAGAGAGATCTTAGAGGGGTTCTGACTCCAGCCAGCCTTTCGGTTCTTGCCCATGGGGTCCTTGGCGCATTGGTAAAGGAACCAGTTGTCTTCACGGCTCTCAGCTCTCCTTCCACAATCCCTGGTCCACTCTGTAACCTCACTGCTTCTCCCACCTTGCGGTCTGGTGACCTCTGTCCCTGTTGCCCTTCCAGTCCCCTAAAAGCACCCTCCCCCACGCCTTCTTTCAGTGAGTTCTCTGCCCTCACCATCCTCCCATTCTTCGAATTTATCACTGTCTCAGATCAACTAATTATATTACCTAATTATTGGGTTGTCAGGAAAGTCATGAGGTATTTTTCTATGTTTTTCAATGCAAAAATGCATAATGACTTTCCCGACAACCCAATACTACTGATACTATGCATTGAGCACTGAGTATGTGCTCATGTTAGGTCCTTTACAAAGATTCTCTAAAATTCTGCCAAAATTCCATTGTGATGGGTATTTGTAGCTCCATTCGTCATATGTGAAAACTGAAGCTCAGCTTGGTTACCTACCTTATCCAAGTTGTATAGCGAGTTAGCGGGAGAGTCAGGATTTAATCCCAGACCCTCTCTTCTTAAGATTTGGACTCTTTCTACAACCTCAGTGGTCTTCTAACTCTGTATCACCATGGGACTTCTCTCATAACACAGTCATAGAGAAGATAAATAAAGGTTGAGCTGTCCTGTGGGGTTCAGAAGGGGTTGCTCTTATCATACGCGTATGTTGACCACCATTCATTTTGAGTTAACTGCTAGGTAAAATTTATGTATTAACTGATTCAGTGGGGTTGAGTTGTTTTTGAGCACGTACGTACTTGTAGGCGAGTCTCTGGCAACTTATTTACACTCTGTGGGTTGGTAAATTGGGAATTTTAAGGGCTCCTGGTAGGTTGTGGTTAGGTGAAGATGAGATAACGATGTAAAGTGTGTGGTGCTTGGGAGGCACGCTGTGAATGGCAGTACTTACTATGATTTCATACTTCATTTTAGTCAAAATACCAAGATTACAAGGATACATTTCTCATTTAATGAAGGACCTAAGAGAGTGCTGCTTTCTTCAAAGACACCAGAATCCACATGGGTCTTACGGGCTCTTTAGCCTTGTATAGCAGAGAAGGTCCCATCCACCTGGGAAAACAAAGAGTGCTGGTAGATGTTTAACCTTGGGAACAGATACACACAGCTGCTTTCATGAGCCAAGCACACTACTGGCAGGGAATTTTGAAGTGGGACACTTATATTAGGAAGGCAGCTTCCCAGGTGCTTTGTAAAATTCTTTGGTTGAGTTGCCATATGGGGGCTCTCACTCTTTGCAGCTGCCACTCAAAGAAAGAAAACTGTCCTTTCTCTTAGATCCTCTCTTCCTGCTGTTGCCATGAGCTTCCACGTGGTTGTCCTACAAGAGCCATGGAGGTCTCCAGTTACCTCCGGAGTATTTGTTAGAGTTCCCAGCAGATGCATAGGGAAGAGAGAAGTCGAGTTGCCAGGAAGGGCTTCTGGCTACACCAGGCATTTTCCATGCAGAGTCAGTGACTTGAAATCGCATATGCCTTTGGACTAAGCTAGACCAAATGAGGCCAGGATGCTTGAATATGGATGAGGGCATATCAAAACTGAAAGGGTCTCATGGGGCCTGATCACTGAGAGCCTTTGAGAGCTGAGACTTAGGAGACACTCCAGGGCTCTGGGGAGTTGTTACTTGCCCCGACAGGTATTTCTAGAGTGCATTACTCAAGGCACTTGGCTGCAAGTGAAAGAAACTCAAATTAGTTTAAAGAAAAATAAAAGAGCAGAGGGAATTTATTGGCTCACATGCATGAAAAGCCCAAAGGTGGCTCTCGGGCTGTGGGCACGGCTGGGTGCGGGGGGGCCTATTCCTCCGTCTGTTTCTCTGCATTTCATGTCCTTGCTCATCTATGCACCGGCTACCACTCCAGGCAGGCTTTTCTTAGTGGTGACAGAGGTGGCCAGAGGCACCTCCCAGCTTCCATTGTCCTCAGAGCTGGTGATCCTAGAAATAAGGGAGGACATCATTCCCAACATTCCTACCCAGTTGCCAGGAATGACATGACTGGCCTGGCCTGGGTGACTTGCCCATTTCCTGAAGCAATTGCTCTGTTCAGGAGAATTCTGACTGGCACTATCTGAAGCTGAGAGGATGGGGGCTGCCCCACCTGAACCGCCTAGAGTTCACATAGGGGAAGGGATAAGAAAGCTTACCTCCTCCACCATGCGCGCCACCCATGCCATCATCATGGTGGAAGTGGGGGTCGGGACACCCACTCTCTGAGATGATAGTCTTGTTGGGGAGTGTGGCATGTCCTTCTGCCGCTCTTCTACAGTGATAGGATTTTTGCCATAGTTGCCTGTGGTAGGCAGAATAATGCTCCCTTCCCCCATAGATGTCCATGTCCTAATACCCAGAACCTATGAATATGTTATGTTACATGGCAAGGGGGAATTAAGGTTACGGATTAATTTAAGGATGCTAACTAGATGGCCTTAAAGTAGGGAGAGTAGCATAGATGATCCAAGTGGGTCTAATGTAATCACAGGAGTCTTTAAGTGGGGAAGAAGGTAGCAGAAGAGTAAGAACCAGAGAGATGACATTGGGAGAAACACTCACCTAGCCAGAGCTGGCTTTGAAGATGGAAGGAAGTCATGGCCTGAGGAATGTCAGCGAACTCTAGAAGCTGGAAAAGGCAAGACACGGATTCTCCCCAGAGCCTTCAGAAGGGAACCCAGTCCTGCCGATCCCTTGATTTTAGCCCAGTAACACCTATTTCACACTTCTGACCTCCAGAACCATTAGATAATAAATTTGTGTTGTCTGACACCATAAAGTTTGTGGTAATTTGTTATTGCAGCAATAGGAAACTAATACACTGCCCAGAATAAAAGGGACATTGCTCAGCCTTCTTTGCATCCAAGTGTGGCTATGAGTTCTGCGTGTAGATGGAGCAGTTGTGGGGCAGCTCCGGGGAATCTCAGGCAGCTGGCAGCACCGCCTTTCCTTCTCCTTCATCTCTCTTCCATCCTGCTGCCTAGCTGTGGATGCCAATTGGACAGCAAGGATGAGGCCCCACCCTACAGAAGGTGGAGGTGTGAGCTGGGAGGAACAGAGCCACAGACCAGCCTTGGAATTTCTACTTCCACACTTTGACCCGAGTAGAAATAAATTTCTACCTTGGTTAAGCCACTGTTATTATGGGTGTTTTCAGAACTCACAGCTGGAGCCGATCCTAATTATTGTAGAAAGAAAAGACATTAACCCTGACCTTTCAGGAGGTCCGACAGACCCGGTGTCTACAAGGTGAGAGCGTCCCAAGGGTGTTCCAGTGTTGGCTCAGAGCTCCTCCCTGATCCCTAACTCTCCCCACCCAGCATCTCTTCCACCTGGTGCTGCAGTCTTGGCTTCACAGCCCTCATCTCCAGCCCGTCTCTTAACTTTGCTGTTGGTATCTATTCTTAGGCAGCAACCTTAGCCAACCCTGATTCAGCTTGATACTCTGGCTGTCTGAACCCTGTGCTTCCTTGGTGAGCACCCATGATCCAGTTCTGGCCCCACGGCTCTCACCCGTACCCTGACTGGCCCTCCCCCACATCCCATCCAAATGAAGCTAAACAAGAATCTAATTAGCATTGAAGACGTTGTCTCTAGGTCTCTGTGCGTGACTTCAGAGGACATCATAGTTGTAGCAGTTAACATTTATTGAGCATTTCCCATGGGACATGGGAAATTGATTAAGTGCTCTATATTTTAATTTCAATCCTCAGAACAACACTAGGGGGTAGGGTTATGTTACAGGTAAAGAAACTGAAGTTGTCATAACAGAGAAGTTAAATCATTTGTCTGAGGTCACTCAACTGCTAAGTGAGAGAACCAGTGTACAAAGCAGCCCGTCTGATTTCAGAGCTCATGCTGTGATACTTTAGGCCTGAGCCCAGCCACTGTCGTCTTCTGAGTAGCACTTAGCGCAATGTTGAGATGATCATAATAATGACTTAGGGCATTGGACAGGGCCGCCATGTATGGCTGTGTGGACTGTGCACTGCACAACTCAGGAGGTTGCCACTCACATTGTCATCTATGTTCATGGTAACCCCTGGAGTTGTACAGTGGACAACCTGCACAAGTATATATGGCCACTCTGGGGCCTTGGGACCTGCCAAGTCGATAGCAAGAGGTCACATGGAAATGTCAGGAACTCAGCTGGGGAGCTATTAAAAACTGTGCTCAGGAGTTGGTGTTGGAGATTAGGCATCAGGGAAACAAACCAAGGTAATGGGAGACAGGAACGCAGGGCACTTTTGCTGGGGCAATCTGACAAATTCTGCTGGATGGTTTCTTTCACGCCCAGACTGGCATTAGATGACTCTTTAAAACACGGGGAGTTATGTTGTTGTATCATAAAAATAACACATGCATATCAGCAGACATTTGGAAAATGTAGAAAAGTTTAAATAAGAAAATTTTAGTCACCAATTGTCCATGACCAGAGCAAATCACTGCTAATATTTCATTGTTTTTTTTTCCTCCAGCCTCTCCTCTTTCTGTTTCTTGATGGATAATATATAAATAGGTAGCTGGATGTAGGTATAGACCTCTCTGTCTCTCTATGCATAGTGGTCTTGAGTGTTGAGGGGCTGCTGGAATGTGTAAGCCAGCACGTAATGATGAGCTTGCACACCAGGGAGCTTATGACCTTCCAAATGATCAACTGGTCCTGAAAAGAGACCTTTGACATGATATGGTTCAGCCTTCTTCTCTTCATCACCCTTCTGCCCACCTTGACAGCATGAATATGTTTTCTAGTTGAGGAAGCTAAGACTTAGAGAGGTAACTTGACCTACTTTGGGTCATAGAATGAGGCAGTGGCGTACTGGGTCCAGAACTTGGGGCTCCTGACTTCTTTCCAAGAATCCAGCATGTTCGAAAATAGGTGCTGTGGAAGGCCAGGTTTACCACATACTGTGGAATAAAGAAGTTTTCCGTGGTCCAAGCAGCACTTTGGTCAAAGCCTTCACACTGTGATCCTCTCTGAGATTCACAAGTACATTAGCAGACCAAAGGCTCTGGGAAGGCCTGCAGCAAAGAAATCTATTGAACTTGGGTCAATCCATTGTTTCTTGAACTTGTGTGGACAAGGAAGTCTTTTCTCATTGGTCATTTAGTCATGTCTTGAGGAACATATCTGGGGAGAGAGAGGCTGAGTTACACTCTACTGCCTGTCCTCTTAGGCCAGAAAGGATACTTGAGGACGTAAGCAATGTCATACTGAGTCAGAGCCACAGTCCTTCTAGTCCAGGAATGAGCTCTCTTATAGGGCCACCAATAAAGGTATTGCAAGAGTGTGTGCCTGCCCTCCACTGAGGCCAAGCTTAGAGGCTGGAGACTGGGTTTTCCTTAATGGCATAATAGCTTAATATGACACTGTTATCCCCCCAAAGTGCCCCTAAACTTTTGAAAAGATCAAATAGCTTACACTAAATAAGTTCCACGGGAGCAAGTTCTTGTGTGTCTTATTTATCTCTGTATCTTAGTGCCTAGAACAGTGCCTGGTACATAGTAGGTACTCAAGAAAGATTTGCAGGATAAATGGAATTAAATTTCTAATTACTTTTGGGAGTTGCAGAATTCCAAAATCACTTCCTCTGACTGACATAAAATCTTTCACTTCCTCCTTCCAGGCTCTGAAACTTAAAATGTATGGCTTAGATTTAACAAAAGTTTATTGAAGGCTGAAAGTATACAAACCCTATGATAGACGTGTTCCCATAGAAGTAATCTCTCATTCGATATTTTCAATAAACCTGTAAAGTAGTATAATCTCAGGTTTCCAGGTAAGGAAGCTAAGGTTTGCAGGTGTTAGGTGACTCAACCAAGGTGACATTTTTAACAAGTGACAAAGCTAAGGGTTATGACCCCATGGCCAGAGCTGGGTATAGTTTGAAAATGGGACTATCAAAGCAGACTTGAGATGAGTCAGCCAGAAGCAGGCTTCAGTGAAGACTCTTCCAGGTTATAAAGGAAGGCACTTCCTCTTCTGAAAAGCCTTCGGCTTCTGCAGCAAGGACTGGTCATTATGACTGTCCTGGGTGCTAAGTGGGGACCCCAGGCCACCTGTCATGTGCCTTTGTGGAAAATAATGGCCGAGTCACTCTGGACATTGAGAAGCATGAATAGTTCCCAGCTGATCAAACAGCTGAAGTGCTAAGCCTCCTGAGCCTTGGTTACAGCAACACAGTTCCATAACACACCAGCATGACTGAGAATTTCCCTGTCCACTCAGCAAGTTGCTATTTCTTTTTCCACCCTATCCTTTAAATGCCTAGGCATTGATCTTACTTATTGGCACCAGAATAACTTTTTCAGTTTAAGAATTAAAGAAAGGCAACCACTGTAACACCTGGCTGCCCTCTGAAAACAGTGTCTGTTCCTTTGAGCTAGAGGAAGGGAAAGTGTGTGGTTGCATGGGATGGCTGGTGAATAGAAGATTGTGTCTCAGTAGATTCCTAGGATGTAACAGCTATGAGGAACCCTAGAGATCATTGGGTCCTTATCTTGCAGAGAAGAAAAGTGAGGCTCTGAAATCATCCAAGATCACATAGCTATTGACTGGTAACACTGGGCTTCAGACTTAAGTCTCTTGATTCTTGATGCAGTTTTCTTTATTCCGTTATTTTCATTACAGTCTTGCTCCATCATTCATGCTGTGTGACCTTATGCAAGTATTTAACCTCTCTGTTCTTTGCTCCTCTGTAAAATGCAGACAAACATAATTACTTACCACATGGAGTGATGGTAAGGAATAAATAAAATATTTCCTACAAATTGCTTTCCCCAAGTGCCTGACATACATAATTGCTTAGTAAATAAGAGATTTAAAAAATTTTTTAAATATATTTTTCAATTACAGTTGACATTCAATATTATTTTTATATTAGTTTCAGGTCAATTATAGTTGACATTCAATATTATTATTATTATTTTTTAAGCTGAGCCATCCTGCCACCTGTTGGCAGCTCAGTGGCTGCTCAGCTCGGGCCAGGAATTGAACCGCTGTTGCTCAGAGCTCAAACCTTTGAGCGAGCTCTTAACCAACTGAGCCACTCTGCCAGCCCTCAATATTATTTTTATATTAGTTTCAGGTGTATAGCATAGTGGTTAGATATTTACATAATTATGAAGTGATGCTCCCAATAAGTCTAGTACCCACCTGGCACTATACATAGTTATTACAATATTATTCACTATATTCCCTATGCTGTACTTTACATTCCCATGACTATTTTGTAACTGCCAATATGTACTTCTTAATACCTTCAACTTTTACATCCAGTCCCCCACCTCACCGACCCCTCTCTCATCTGGCAACCATTAGTTTGTTCTCTGTATCTATGAGTCTGTTTCTGTTTTGTTTGTTCGTGTGTTTTGTTTTTAGATTCCACATATAAATGAAATCATATGGCATTTGTCTGTCTCAGTCTGACTTATTTCACTTCGCATAATACCCTCTAGGTCCACCCATGTTGTCACAAATGGTAAGATTTCATTCTTTTTTATGACCAAGTAATATTCCATTGTATATACTTGAGTATGTACCACATCTTCTTTATCCGGTCATCTATTGATAGACATTTAGGGAGCTTCCTATCTTGACTATTGTAAATAATGCTGCAATGAACATAGGGATGTATATAACTTTTTGAATTAGTGTTTTGGATTTCTTTGCATAAATACCCAGAAGTGGAATTGCTGGTCATAAAGTAATAAAAACATCATGGCATAAAAACAGACACATAGATCAATGGAACAGAATCAAGAGCCAAGAAGTAAACCCACACCTATGTGGTTAATTAATCTATGAGAAAGGCGGCAAGAATATACATTGGGGTAAAGTCTCTTCAACAAATGGTGTTGGGAAACCTGGACAAATACAGGCAAAAAAAAAGAAAAAATGAAACTAGACCACTTTCTTACACCATCTACAAGAACAAATTCAAAATGGATTAAAGACTTAAATGTAAGACCTGAAACCATAA